GGAAGGTAGCCACGAGGGCTACCAGGAGGAAAAGAACAGCTCGCAGCATCCTGCCCTCGTTGTGTACATAGGTATGCTTTTTTTTTTTTTTTTTTATGCTTCTATGTACGCAGTAGGCACATCGTTATTTCGCTGATTCGTCTATCCCCACGGGTGAGAAAATGTGAAGAGGAAAAAAAAAAAAAAATACCCTTTTGCTGTGCACAGTACGTTTAACGACCTTATGTGGTGGGTAGACAGATCTTCAAGCAAGCGAACGCATCCATCATGCGCGCAAGTGTCAATAAACGTGGTTTCTCTGTCCCGGTCCATCTCAGCAGCTCGCTTGTGCATTAAGAGGCGAGCACCATCTGGTGTACGTACGCATGCAGACGCACTGACGTTTATTATTGTCCCCCCTACCCCTCAAAAAAAAAAAAAAATCCCCAATTTTGTGTCAATTTATGGGCACAATTAAATCGCCCTCGCGAATTTAAACGAAAAAGGAAAATAAAGACAGCCACCCACCTTTTGACGCGTTAATTCGACTTTTTTTTCTTTTTTTCCTCCCTTTCCTGCACGAGGTTTGTTCTGCTAGCTATTCTCATTTTTGTGCACTTTTTACCTGAACAGGTCAGGCGAAAAATCAGTTAAAAAAAAAAAAAAAATGGGAAAAAAAAAAAAGGCAAGGGGAGTATAGAGATATATGTCCACTTTGCAATTAGTGAGAAATTCCCATTCCGCTCAACTGAGCACCTGTTTAAATACCCCTTTTAAGGGAATTCCTCCACAGCATAGGGTATATGTGTTCTCCTTACACTTTGCACATGTCTACCCACCTGTCTATGTACTCACTGCAGGGGTATTATTTTTTATTTTTTTAGTTGCCCCCACAATGGAGGTGGAAGGTAAAACCTGGTGCGACCGGAAGCTGCTCAAATTCGAAGGCATCTGCAGAGGACGAAGCCATTCCATCCATCACCACTTGGTGAATAACGACATAGTGGCCGCCTTCGATCAGCTGAAAAAAGGCACTTCCCCCTTCGTCAGAGACGAGTGTAACAGAACGGCCCTTGATTTAGCCATCGTATTATTTATGGCCAAATTTAATGAGTCCCTATGTACCTCCCTCATTGCAGATTATTTGCACTCAAATGGGTGCGTCTCGCGGAGTTCCTCCTTCACATACAGCGATGGGGTAGGAGTTACCTTTAGGGGACAGGCCCCACTTGACCGTTCAAAGGATTCACTCAAGGTGGCAAACGAGATAAGCGCAACGGAGGAGTCGTCCGCCTCGTTGTCACCCCTTCCCCTGGCGAGAAGAAAAGCACGTTGGGCCATTCCAAACAAGTCCCACTACTATGAGCACGGTTACAAAATGGGAGTGTACAACAAAAAAACGAAACCACCGCCAAATGCATTAACCACCAGGGGGAAAATGAAATATACCCAAGCATTGCTGGATGGACGACTACGAAGAATAAAAGCCCTGCAGCTGTTCATAAAGACGTTAAGCATGAACACCCGACTGAGAAAATATGCAGAAAGGGTTGCACAGGAAGAGATTGCCAAACTGTCCTTCCCCTTTCTGTACACAAATACTATGCATATGCTATTTAAGCGTTTTTCGCCTGAACATGGTCAGGTAAAAAAGTGGAACATAAAAAATCCAGCTGACTCAAGAAAGTTAGTTACAAAAATATTATCCAGCAATTTGTTCGGAAGTGAAGTAATTAAATTTATGGGAAATATTTTATCCTGCTTCTCCTCCCTGATTGGAATTTTTGGACAGAAGGTGTACGTACAGGACTCCACCATTTCGCAGTTCATTCTGCACATGTCTTTCACCTTCGACAATGAATATTTATTCAACGTAGTAGTTAACAAAGACAACACGTTTGCGCAAAAGGATATGTTTCATTGGGATGCATTAATCAACTCCATATCGCATGGGAAGCATTCACTTCGTCATTATTACCAGCCCTTACTGTATGCCAGACTGAACAAGTTCTTCTTAGAAAGGCTGGAACGGCTCCGGGACGGTGCCAATGGGGAGAAGCGTGCCGTCCACTTCGGAGGATGAAACGTGTGTGGGAACCACGCCTCTTACAAAACAAACGAAAGTGTGCCCTATGGGAGGCGCCAACTTGGTTGTTCCTGCGGGCGTCCCAAGCATACACATAACATGCCCTGTTAGCCATCTGGGGCGGCACCGACAGGAGTAAACACACGAGGAGTAAACGCTAGTAGGAGCCTTCCCCCCAACTGGGCTATAAGGTCCGGAGCATTATTTCCATTTGGCTCCTATGTGGCGGAAAGTACAATCGGTGCAGGGGGGCGACCCATCTGTTGCCTGCTCGATGGGTACCATTTCCTCACAACCAACTGGTTAGCGTGTGATAGGTATGTAAAACTTTATATGCGCAAATCGGCGGTGGAGGTCACTTCTGGCATCTTGGATGGGGCCTCCCTGCTTCCCCCATTTCGTTCACATTGAAGTATTTTTTTTTTTTTTTTTTTTTTTCCACCCAGTGGGGATGGTATCGCATCGGGTGCGCTTCTTCACTTCGCTGCCTTCTGACCATCTTTGCGATACTGAGCTGCCTCCCACAATAAACCTTTAAAAAGAAAAAAAACGTCACACTCCTCATTTGGAGTCCAAACTTTTACCTGAACTGTTCATACAAAATTGTGGCTCCAATGGGAATGCCAAAATTGGTGGGGGCACAGGAGAGGAGAGTTTCCCCCATCGTTAAAATGGGGTTAACTTGTGTTTAGCGGAACAGTGTATATAGTTGCCTCTACCCCATGTGTGTCGAAACGACATCGCGTTGTTGGTCAGGGTAATGTTTTTCCCCCACCAGTTCAATAAAAAAAAAAAGTCCATTTAGCGCAGCCCTGGTCAGGAAGAAAAGAAAAAAAAAAAAAAAAAAAAAAAAAACTTGGCGCAAAGAGGCCACATTAAAAAGGCCTACTCCGCTGTAGATTGATCACACATCTCTCACCGCGTAGACGGATTACGCTAACGCCCCCCCCCCCTATGGCTAACAGCAAATTTGCGTACGTGAAGCAGCTCGAGGAGCAGAGGAGGGTGTTGCCCTACTGCTACTTCGTGGTGAGGATAGACGGGGGAGGCTTCAAGGCATTCACAAAGACACACGGGTACACAAAACCCAATGACGTACGCGGCTTGCATTTAATGAATGCATGTGCAAAGGAAGTGATGAACAAATTTGATGAAATCGATTTAGCATATGGGCACTCAGACGAGTACAGCTTTCTTTTTCGAAAAAAAACAAAACTGTGGAATAGGAGACATGACAAAATTTTAACCAACGTCGTCTCCTGTTTTTCAGCATCCTTTCCTTTTCACTGGAAGAAATTTTTCCCAGAACAGGACCTCCTATACGTCCCATGTTTCGATGGCAGGATTGTTTTACTCCCCACAGAAAGGGAAGCCAAGGATTACTTCCGTTGGCGACAGGTCGATTGTCATATTAATACGCAGTACAATGAATGCTTCTGGAACCTGGTTAATAGGGCTGGCTATTCTCACCAAGAGGCATACAATACTTTAATGACCACTCAGAAGAAGGACAAGAATGAGTTGCTCTTTTCTCGCTTCGGGATAAACTACAATGAGGTACCTGAAATGTTTAGGAGGGGGTCTATCTTAATGCGGGCGGAGCAAGGCTGCAAAAGGGACCACGTCGACGTCGGTGAAGAGGTGCACATCACGCGTGTGGAGGTTCCCATGTCGACGAGTGGAGAAGATACGAAGGAGTCGCCGCCTGACCATGCGAATGTGCCTCCCCCGGACGAAATACGCAGTGCGGTCACTACCCCCCACAAGCGAGACAAAGTAACCAAGTTCACTCTCTCGCATGAGAATATCGTAAGCGATATTTTCTGGGAGAAGAATCATTTTTTATTTGACAAATGATTTCGAACAGCAGCCGAGTTGGCTGTTACGTCTGCGGGTGCACTCGACTATGTACATGTCAACCCAAAAGAGCAAATGAGAGAGCTGCTCATTTTTTTTTTGTTTTTTGTCAACATGGTGAGAAGGATTTGTCCAGATCAACAGAAGGGACAACTTAGCAAGTGTGTACAAGTGTTGTGGTAACAGATTGGACCTTAACATGGGTCTCAAGGAGTCCTACACCCATTTGTAAACCCACTCCACACACACACCCTCTGGTGGAGTACTAACCTCTTTATCAAGCCAAAAAAAAAAAAAAAAAAAAAAAAAAAA